AATATTGTAATAGAAACGAAACATCTATTCAATATAGCTACAGTTCTAGAATATTCGGTACATCCAGGTCCGGACTGCGGAAAGTTAAAAACCGAACGGCAAAAATTTTTGTTTGTTTTGCCAAAAATATAAACTATTGGATAATTAGCCGCAAATTAGCCTTCAAAGGGATCTTTCTTCCCTTGGTGCGTAATATCTATTGGCAGTACTCATAGTAGCTAATGATCCAGGAATATTGTAATAGAAACGAAACATCTATTCAATATAGCTACAGTTCTAGAATATTCGGTACATCCAGGTCCGGACTGCGGAAAGTTAAAAACCGAACGGCAAAAATTTTTGTTTGTTTTGCCAAAAATATAAACTATTGGATAATTAGCCGCAAATTAGCCTTCAAAGGGATCTTTCTTCCCTTGGTGCGTAATATCTATTGGCAGTACTCATAGTAGCTAATGATCCAGGAATATTGTAATAGAAACGAAACATCTATTCAATATAGCTACAGTTCTAGAATATTCGGTACATCCAGGTCCGGACTGCGGAAAGTTAAAAACCGAACGGCAAAAATTTTTGTTTGTTTTGCCAAAAATATAAACTATTAGATAATTAGCCGCAAATTAGCCTTCAAAGGGATCTTTCTTCCCTTGGTGCGTAATATCTATTGGCAGTACTCATAGTAGCTAATGATCCAGGAATATTGTAATAGAAACGAAACATCTATTCAATATAGCTACAGTTCTAGAATATTCGGCACATCCAGGTCCGGACTGCGGAAAGTTAAAAACCGAACGGCAAAAATTTTTGTTTGTTTTGCCAAAAATATAAACTATTGGATAATTAGCCGCAAATTAGCCTTCAAAGGGATCTTTCTTCCCTTGGTGCGTAATATCTATTGGCAGTACTCATAGTAGCTAATGATCCAGGAATATTGTAATACAAACGAAACATCTATTCAATATAGCTACAGTTCTAGAATATTCAGCACATCCAGGTCCGGACTGCGGAAAGTCAAAAACCAAACGGCCAAAATTTTTGTTTAAAATAAGTAAATTATCTAAATAAGTTATTTAAAAAGTATTTGAACACCATCGTTATCCTTTTCTGGAGGAAGCAATATGCTTTATCTGGACCTTGATAAAAATTTCCACTAACATCCGGACATCACTTAAATTATTTGTCGACCCCTGTTCTAGAGCGTTCGTTATAACAGGAGGCGAACAGAAAAAAGTTATTTTCCTGCAAAATCCTCTACTTTCATCAGTACATTAAAAAGGATCATGACGTTTCACCTTCTAACCGTAAACAAAACAAGGAACTTTGAATAACCATACGGTTAATACGAATGAAACAATTAAAATTTCTAGGAAATTACGCAACACATTACAAATTTAATAATTCTGTGTTTCTGCGATCCAATCAGTGATATCTACCATTGGAAGGCTCGCATGTATCTGACTAACTATTATTATTATACTCACTCAGGTTTAGAATTAATATAAATATGCACATGCTTCTTGTCACTTTCTCAATACCTACACCTAGCCGGAAAACAAAATTGCGGAAGCGGAGTATCGCTTATTATGTGTTGTAAGATAAAAATTCCTGGAACAAGGCACAACAGCAGAGTAACCAATTTCTCTTATTGAGTTGGCAATTTAAATACCTATGCTAATTAGGATCATGTCAACCAACGATCTTTTACATTAATACGATTACCCCCGAAGGCAATTTTCAGGCCTTAAAAAATTCCGCTTGGGTAAACTTTCTACCAGTTATTTTTTTAACACCGAAGATGTATAAGAATATTATAACTTCTAGGCTAATAATTCACCGAAATTATCTGACGAGCTAAATCTCATCAATAAGTTGCAACAAGAGAAAAAATGCATCTGTCTCTGGCTTCAGAACAAATTATTAGACACCTTTTGTTCATCTATTAGGGGTAGAAAATACCACAAAATCTGATGGTACAATCTGTTTGACCATCGCCCTTCAGATAAATAAGTTACGGGAGATAAACTATTAAAATATTTGAAAATTTCGCGTTTTCAAACAGCGCATCTAAGTTTCCGATTGCTAAACAAATTATCTGATATTGTCTGTTACACCTATTAGCGGTAGAAAATGCTGTAAAATCTAATGGTGCAATCTGTTTGACCATCGCCCTTCAGATAAATAAGTTACGGGAGATAAACTATTAAAATATTTGAAAATTTCGCGTTTTCAAACAGCGAATCTAAGTTTTTGATCTCTAAACAAATTACTTGACATTGTCTGTTATATCAATTAGGGGTAGAAAAAGTTGTAAAATCTAATGATGTAATCTGATTGATCATCGCCCTTCAGATAAATAAGTTACGGGCGATAAACTATTAAAATACTTAAAAATTTCGCGTTTTAAAACAGCGCATCTAAGTTTTTGATCGCTAAACAAATTACTTGACATTGTCTGTTTTATATCAGTTAGGGGTAGGAAATGCTGTAAAATACAATGGTGCAATCTGCTTGACCATCGCCCTTCAGATAAACAAGTTACGGGCGATACCCAATTTTGGATATTCTTTTTCTTGAGTAATTTAAGATTTTATCTAAACAAGAAAACCTCCAATCAAATTCTATTCTCCTGAAGGAACATATGTATGTTGTTTTGTGTAGCTGGTCAAGTTTACTTCCGTTGTATTCAAATTAATAACCGGAAGTACAATTTAATCCAAAGCTAATAAATTAAACTTCCTATCCAATAGGAATATATTTATTATACGTATACACACATGCGGTTAAAAATTTTCACTTGTTTGCGCAGGTACCAACTGAAAATGCGACTTGCAACTTTCCATTGATTAATAATGATAATAATAAGAGTAAATCTTGTTTCCGGACGAAGTTAAGATGCGGCTTACTTTGATCCGCGACTTGTAGAAAGCGGGCAAAATACCTCGGGTCATTCATAATACATTTATATAAAGGGACAGGTCGTGTTAACCTGAATATTTTGCCGACTCAAGTTGGCTTTGGATACCTGTTCTCATGACAAACAGTAATCAGGTAAACACGATAATAATGCAGAAGGATACGACAAGTGCAGGCATACACGTGTTTATATTAATATTATTATAAGTAATGAGGAATTTTTATGGTTTGGGTAGAAGAATCCGACTGAAATTTATATCTGTAGTTACGGCCGACATCTATAAGTTTATTTATGTGTTTGTGAGTGTGTAAAAAAAGAAAGTTATTTCGTTAGATTTGCTTGATGAGGAAAGGCATGGCCGTCTAATACGCCTTAGGACACGAAGGAAATATTTAAAAGCTAAAAGAGGACTATGTAAAATTCATGGACATAGACAAGTGTAACATTTTCACTTACAGTTACGAAATACGTAATTGTTTCAATTTCAAAGTGTACACATATAATTAACAAGCAGGACCCGTTCAAACCATTAATAAATGTACCAATAGATTCAATTTTAATGAATTCAAAGATAGTTTTTCACCCACCATAACATTGACTGTGACATCTTTCTAATCCCGAATCTTTAACCTAACCCCCTACTTAGCCCTTTATCGACATTTGAAGAGAAAAGATTGAAAATTATCATCCTACCTCTCGTATTATACTGTAACAAGCACGAGTGTGTTTGTGTGCGATCAGGCACACGTGTGCGAGAAAGACTTATCGATTCGCCGACTAGCCTCAGGCGCCTTTCTTCATGTGCGAGGTATTTGTAAATGTGTGTGCGTACCTGCGTTCTGGGAAAGCAATTAAACAGTTCAAAGAAAAATAAACTATCCGGATGTTTCCAAAAGGTTCCAGAAAGTAAACAAAAGAGTATTTAAAGGAAAAGACGTTCGCCGAGAGGAAAAGAAATAAATTGACCGTTGCAGAAGTGAATCCGGAAATACATTGACAGTGATAGTGGTGAAATAAATAGCGCAGTGAATAGTGATACAGTGTGTATAGTGTAAATAAATAGTTTTTGTCGTTATCAGTATTAGAAGTTAATTTTGTTAAACCCACGAAAATTACAATACCATATTTCAAATTATGATACCAAATACGACAACCAAATTGCAACTAATTACAGACATGTTCCATTTCTTTAAACGAAACTTGATCCAGTTTAATCGTAGCATAATCTAACATAAAATTAAATTACTTTCTGTAATTACATGAAATTCAATCTTTAAACTATTAGGATTAGATGAAGCTGTAAAAAACGTTCTATGTTTGGTACGAAACCTAACCGAATCGAACCAATCCTAACCTAACCTAACCTAAAAAACATAACCTAACCGAATAAATGTAAAACATGGCTGAAATAATAGAAAGCATCAAAACTCACCACTTGTGCTGTTTCCGTCGCATGTCCCGAATGGTCCACCAATTTCCGGGGGTGAGTCAGGGGACGGCGACGCATGGTCCGATCCAATTCCAGACGACGCTGCACTACCGTTCGCGATCGTCGTATTGGGGACGGTATTGTTGGCGGCGGCGCGTCCGACTATGCTCGTATTTAAACAGCGGCGCAACTCGATCCCCTGCAAATTACCCCTTTGTCTGTGTACTGTGTCGTAATCGCGAGGAGGTAATAGCAGGGGTTGGCTTGGGGGGCGGCTGCCCGGACCGCTGGCACCACCCAATCGCGCGCGTAATTCCGCGGCAACCGAATCGTACAGTATCGATGTACGCACTGGGGGCAAATCCGATCCTAAACCACCGCTCGATCTGAAAGAGAAGGTTTTTGATAAGGTTTCTGAAAAATTTGTCTGGCCCAAATGGCCAGCATATTTTATAGCTTATATTAAACTAGGTATCGACGATTACATAAAACTAATTTTCTTTTCCTTCGGGAACAGTATTTATTTTTCTGGATAAAAAGTACCCTATGCCCTTTTTTGTACCCCTGATAAAGTGTGTACAAAATTTCATGATGATCAGTTAAGTAGTTAAGATGTAAAATGGTAACAAACAAACTTACATTCTCATCTATTATATTATAGTTTGGATTTTGACCTCTTCATTCGACAAACAATCGTCGAATTTATATCAATTATTAAATGTCAACATTGGACCTTTCAATGGTAAAAAATACAAGTATTGTATCAAAGAATGCCTTATTAGTGGTCTAGATTATAATTTATTCGAGTAATTAAAATGAAATTAAAGGTACCAAATATCACACAGGAAGGTGCAAGGACCTGAAATCTTGACATACCACATGCTAATTAATACGTGACTGTTTTTAAGAAAAATGTAACTCAAAAGTTTCGAAAAATTATTAAGTAGTAGGTAATTCGTTATAAGCAATTTCAACGTTTTTACTACTGCAATAGCGTTAGGTACTCTATTAGCAAGAACCTACATGACGAAAAATAACAAACTTTTGCAACGTGTTTCCTAAAATAATAACAAATAATAATAACTAACTGTTAAAAAAGGTGGGCGTGTCTTACTTCGAAAATTGCTAAATAATTTTGGAGTGGACAAGGTCGCGTTTGTCAGAAAATTACAAAATTGCGATACCGAGGCGTGCTCGTTGGGAAGATTACATGATACCATGGTAGAAAAGTATTAATTTACCGTTCATTGATTAAACGTAGATTTAAAAGTGTAATTATCAGTAATTTTGCGTAGGAATTTCAAGAAAAAACTATTCAATTACAAATCACTTAAGTATGTAGGTATTACATAAAGTAAACTTAAGAAACTTATTATTTCCTCATCTTTAATAAATTAAAATTTGCAAAACTTGTAAGTAATATGTAAATTGTTCGTCTGTCACAGAAATCGAATCTCAAAGATTTTTCCCCCTGTTTCCCAGTATCTTTTAAGTTTCCCCCCAAAACGTATAATTACAATATTACAATTAAAAATTTTCTTTTTGCAATCTAACTATACTTCATTTACTTTCTCTAGAGAAGTGCTCCTTCCAATGTCTTGGATGCGCGCTGGCAAAATCGTAGGTAGGGAGAAAAAAAGCTCATTATACTCTCGACCCGTGTTCATTAAACATACTTTTTCATACAGTACCTGCCAAAAGTTTTGTTCGATCATGAATAGTAGTGCGAGTCGAAAACAAGCGTTAAAACCTTTAATATGTCTTCAAATATAAATTAACATCTCGTTGATATTTTCAGTAGTAATTGGTACCAATAACGGCACATTTGAGTAATGCAACTTAAGTGGATAAAATGGTAAATTTTTCCGTGCAGTACTGTACGGATTATACGCTCCTCACCGGTTAAGAGTTTGGCCGAGAGTTGTCTCTTTTCTTTTTCTGGCCTAGTGCTGTTCTTTTCTACTTTGCGCCGGTCAAACTAAAGGTCACATCGCTAGAGAAACTAAACGAAGTATACAAATTTTACGTTACTTTTTTCAGACCTGACTGTTTGATAATAATTTCAATTTGATAGCTCCAGGCGTTCCAGGGTCTTAAGAGACTTTAGACTACTTTTAGCCTTCTTTGGTTCTTGTTAATACAGATGCTTTCTAAATATTTTAAACTCAAACAACGCTGCCAGACTTATGTAGATGATCCCATAATAACCCAAAGATTATACAGAACTATTGCCTACCTTTCTTCTCCCGAGTCACTTCCCCTTGCAGAAGACGCACCTGTATCGCTCCCCAACGATGAGTCTTGCCTCCCCATTTCCTTCATTTCCCCGTCCATTATTTTGGCCTCTACCTCCCTCCATCTCTTCTGATTATCGGGTCGATCTGATAGCGTTTGCAATTGATGATGGAGGAGTCTTGCCGTGTCGAGGCTGTCGCACCTGTAAGCGTGCACATGAAGGGGCCATCCGGTGACGGGGTTCATCAGGAGAAGCACGCACACCACTATATCGTCTCTCTGATGAGCATAAGCAACGCTGTCGGAAGGAATTAGATGCTTGACTGTCTCTAACTTAGGTTTTCCGGTTTTACCACTTCCTGGAAGAATAATTTCAATTTGGAATTGCCGAAGAACTCTTTAAAATGGGAAGAAAAACTCAAAATCTGTTTGCAGCAGGTTGGAAAATTGAAACAATTTCATTCATCTTTTCTGAGACATGACGCAATGGCGCACATGAGGAGTTAGTTAGAGACATATTAGAAAAATAAACGTAGTAGTAGTAAAAGTAGAGAGGGACAGATCGAAACCCGTATCAATAAAAGATCGTCAGTGCCAAGACTGCTTGGGCATTCGCATTTCCCTAAAACTATAGGGTTGTTCGGAAAGTCATTTCGTTTTTTCCCGACAGAGGATTTAATTGTATTCTTTTGCACCCAACTTCACATTTAAGCCGTATAATTTTTATATGCTTTGAGAGCTCATATAGCAAGGCTTGTGTGTGAAAAATTCCAATTAATTCTACGCAGTAGTTTTTGGTTGGTGCCCTTTTAAATATGGAGAGCGATAAGCAGCATTTTCGACATATCTTACTGTTTTACTACAGAAAGGGTAAAAATGCTGTTCAAGCCAGAAAGAAATTGACTGATGTGTATGGAGAAGGTGTGTTGACAGTACGCCAGTGCCAGAACTGGTTCGCTAAATTTCGATCCGGCAATTTTGATGTCGAAGATGCACCACGTTCGGGAAGGCCGGTTGAAGCTGATAAAGACGCGATAAAGGCATTAGTTGATGTGAACCGGCGAATAACAACACGTGAGATCGGATTGAGGTTAAATTTATCAAATTCAACAGTTTATGACCACTTGAAAGGCCTGGGATTATCCTCGAAGCTCGATGTATGGGTTCCCCATGTTCTCACAGAGAGAAATCTGTGTCGCCGCATTGACGTCTGCGATTCGCTTCTCAAACGTCACGAAAATGATCCGTTTTTGAAGCGCATCATCACTGGGGACGAAAAATGGGTTGTATACAACAACGTCAAACGCAAGAGGTCATGGAGCAAAAAAGATGAACCGGCTCAAACCATTTCCAAAGCCGATATTCACCAAAAAAAGGTGATGCTGTCTGTTTGGTGGGATTTTAAAGGAATCGTTTTTTTTGAGCTTTTACCGGATAACACAACGATTAATTCGGAAGTCTACTGTCATCAGCTGGACAAACTGAATGATGCACTTCAACAGAAAAGGTCAGAACTAATCAACAGGAAAGGTGTAGTGTTTCACCAAGACAACGCGAGACCTCACACAAGTTTGGTCACTCGCCAAAAGCTTTTACAGCTTGAATGGGATACAATGCTACACCCACCATATTCTCCAGACCTGGCACCATCGGATTATTATTTGTTCCGGTCACTCCAAAATTTTTTAGACGGTAAAACCTTCACCTCAAATGAGGAGGTCAAAAACCTCCTCGATCAGTTTTTTGCCAGCAAAGACCAAAAATTTTATGAGCGTGGAATTATGCTACTACCAGAAAGATGGCAAAAGGTGTTGGGCCAGAACGGTCAATATATAATTTAATAAAATATTTGTTTATTATACGAAAACTCTTTCATTTCCACAAAAAAAAAACGAAATGACTTTCCGAACAACCCTATAGAAGATCCTCTTACTGTACTGGCTGATTATAAAATAATATGGATTTAAGATGCTCTACTTTTCGGACAGGGAGTAATGCGTGTCCAACCAGCCATTAGACTATTCCTTCCAAATATTTCAGAACCAGAGAGATAAAACAAAGTCTGTATCGGACTCAGTTAATTTAGTTTTCTGTTATAAAAACTGCTTTCCATAACGACTACAGTTTCTAAATTCAGTTTGGACAAACAAATATTCCGAGAACTTAACAATTTTGTTACAATTTTTCTAATTCATTCCGTGCAAGAAAATAGAAAATTTCTTACACTATTACTTCAAAATTACAATACAAAACAAAACAAATACATAACAAAATCAAACGACAATTATTTTTGTGTTTCATTTTATATCTGATGGTTTATGTCTTTTATTTGCTTTGCATTATCTATACATATAACAACTAACACCATAATAGAAAAGGTGAAATATTTTCTTGGTAGCTACCTACTTATATTAGGTATCTTGTTGATGGACAGTTTATAACAAAACTATTTCTTTGAAGTAGTTGAAGTTATGCACTGTAAGAAAAAGAAATTAACTAACTGTTTCTTTAAAATCACTGGTCTGTATCGATTACAAGTTTTTTGGTTTAAACAAAAATGTTTACGACTCAAGTGGTTCTTCTACTTACTTATAAATCTAATAAATTACATTCATACACCTTCAAATCTAATGAAAATCGTTCATGATCATCATAAAGAGAAAGATGGACTCAATTTTATTTGAGAAAAAACATACCTGTTTCTCTAACGACGTTTTGAACAATCTTCAACCCCTTCTGGGACACTTGAAGGGTGACTTTGTGAGGTTCTGTGTCCCTCTCCCTCTGCATTAGGTGCTCCAGGGCGGGCATTACAGCTTCAGGACCTCGTAGTCCTCGAGCCTCCTTGGCCCCCAAAAACCACACGTAGTAAGACGATTTTTTCATTTCTTTTCTCAGTTTTAAGGCCATCACAATTTAAACACTTTATTCACTTCATTTAGCGAAATGTTTATTATTTTTAAGCACTAAACTGTCTTATAACAACACACCTTATTTAAAACACATCCAATTTGATAGCTCCAGGGTGATGGTAATTGGAAATGATTCTGAAAAGAAGAGAAACCCTGGTTAGGAACATGTTATTATACAATTAAATACTAATCTTTTTATATAAAAGAAATTACAATACAAATATGTATTTAAAATCTTCATCAAGAAATACTTTTAATTGGTTGAAGGTGTTAAAAGTATTAGACAGTTATACGTATTGTTTCATTAATTCTCAAGTCTAGTAGAATCAAAAAGACTTGCTTGTGTAATATTTTTACAAAAGGAACTATGTGTTATTTTATGGTTCAATGAAGCACAGCGTTTTCCCGGTTTGAATGACAATTCAATCGGTTAACCAATATATAAGCATCCATAGTAAATATTTCATAAAAAAAAATGAGTGCACATAACATAAACGATAAATTAGTTATCACATGGCAAATAAGACAAGAAAAGGGGAAAAATAAGAACAGAGGAAAGTAATCTACTTAAAGAATGTTTAAAATTAAAAAAGAAACAATTAAACACAGGAAATAGAATAGGTAAAAGAAGGAAATGGCCAATGGCGGAAAAGTGGAAGATAGAGAAAAGGAATTACTTTCTAGAAAAGAAATGGACACCTGACTACTATAATCAACTTATGGAGAATAACAGCGACGTTTGGTCAGAAGCAGAAAAAATTGAAAGAGAACAAGACAGACAAAAAGTAGAGGGAAAACTAAATCATCGAAATACGCAAATAAATACAAAGAAATCAATCCAATCGGTAAACCGGAATACTTGAAAGAGGGACATAAACGCAGAAACGAACTGGGGATGTATGCAAGATTCAGGTTAAGATAATGAGGATAAGGAAAATGAAGAACGAGAAGGAGAAAAAACCAACAGCACGATATTGACACATAGCAAAGAAGAGAAGAGAAAAGATGAACCCACAGACAAACACAATTTTGTTAATATCTAATTAGCTATCACATCGCAAACTAAGAATAAAGGCATTCAGATTCTATAGGGTTATTCGGAAAGTCATTTCGTTTTTTTTTGTGAAAATGAAAGACAGTTTTCGTATAATAAACAAATACTTTATTAAATTATATATTGACCGTTCTGGTCCAACACCTTTTGCCATCTTTCTGGTAGTAGCATAATTCCACGCTCATAAAATTTTTGGTCTTTGCTGGCAAAAAACTGATCGAGGAGGTTTTTGACCTCCTCATTTGAGGTGAAGGTTTTACCGTCTAAAAAATTTTGGAGTGACCGGAACAAATAATAATCCGATGGTGCCAGGTCTGGAGAATATGGTGGGTGTAGCATTGTATCCCATTCAAGCTGTAAAAGCTTTTGGCGAGTGACCAAACTTGTGTGAGGTCTCGCGTTGTCTTGGTGAAACACTACACCTTTCCTGTTGATTAGTTCTGACCTTTTCTGTTGAAGTGCATCATTCAGTTTGTCCAGCTGATGACAGTAGACTTCCGAATTAATCGTTGTGTTATCCGGTAAAAGCTCAAAAAAAACGATTCCTTTAAAATCCCACCAAACAGACAGCATCACCTTTTTTTGGTGAATATCGGCTTTGGAAATGGTTTGAGCCGGTTCATCTTTTTTGCTCCATGACCTCTTGCGTTTGACGTTGTTGTATACAACCCATTTTTCGTCCCCAGTGATGATGCGCTTCAAAAACGGATCATTTTCGTGACGTTTGAGAAGCGAATCGCAGACGTCAATGCGGCGACACAGATTTCTCTCTGTGGGAACATGGGGAACCCATACATGAGCTTCGAGGATAATCCCAGGCATTTCAAGTGGTCATAAACTGTTGAATTTGATAAATTTAACCTCAATGCGATCTCACATCAACTAATGTCTTTATCGTGTCTTTATCAGCTTCAACCGGCCTTCCCGAACGTGGTGCATCTTCAACATTAAAATTGCCGGATCGAAATTTAGCGAACCAGTTTAGGCACTGGCGTACTGTCAACACACCTTCTCCATACACATCAGTCAATTTCTTTCTGGCTTGAACAGCATTTTTACCCTTTCTGTAGTAAAACAGTAAGATATGTCGAAAATGCTGCTTATCGCTCTCCATATTTCAAGGGCACCAACCAAAAACTACTGCGTAGAATTAATTGGAATTTTTCACACACAAGCCTTGTTATATGAGCTCTCAAAGCATATAAAAATTATACGGCTTAAATGTGAAGTTGTGTGCAAAAGAATACAATTAAATCCTCTGTCGGGAAAAAACGAAATGACTTTCCGAACAACCCGATAGTTGATTCCGTTTAATTCAAAGCCAAGACTGTACCGAATTAATTTATACACTACTAGAAATCACAAGAAAAAATTATATAACAGAAATATGTTTACGAAATAATTGTGACGTTAATAATATCTACATGAAATTATATTTATATGAATATGAATTCAACAATAATCCAATAAACTTTACTGTTATTTATAAGTGAGTGATTAGAATAATACCTAAGTATAGATATGACATCATTATAGTTCTTAGGTGTATTATTGGTTATAAAGTAGTAACTATTTTATAAGCGATTGTCTTATTATAATAATGTTTATAACATTGCCTGCCATTTTTATGATATAAGAAGTAAGTTTATTAAATAGTTTTAATGGCATTTAGAAAAATAGAATTGCACACGTTTCTAGTTCACGTGTTTCCGGAACGAACAGTACACGTTTTGTATAAATTATATATACCTAAGTGTATTATACACATATATAGATTTACATATATAATTTAATTGAAAAAGTTGTTTTTAAAAATAGCTGTCGTTAGATTGTAAAGGTAAAACAGGACTGCAATTATTTTCTCGGCATCTGTATACAAAAAGTAATAGCAAACTAATTTATATTTACAATTATTGTAGTAACAATAAAATTAATTAGCTTAAGGAAAAGGAGATTTCTTTTTAATTTATAATATAATTCAATGTTTTGTTGTCGAAAGGTTATTTACACTTTAAAAATTTCTTTAATTACTTCTAAATAACTAAAACGCAGAAACAGATTACTTTCGGTAAATACGATGGGACGATCGGGTTTTCGGTAAATGTGAAGATTAACTAGGGATAAACAAGACTGATGAATTTAAGATATTTAAAATTAAAAACTCCTATTCCCCATACCTTTCTCATTATCACTAATAATTTCTTCATTTCTTTCTCGTATTCCCCATACCTTTCCAATTATCTTAAATGATTTCCTAATTTCTATCTCTTATTCTCCATAGCTTTCCCATTATCGTTAATTTTTTCCAAATTTCTTTCTCCTATTCTCCATACCTTTCCCATTATCCTTAATGCTTTCCTAAATTCTATCTCCTATTCTCCATACCTTTCCCATTATCGTTAATGTTTTCCAAATTTCTTTCCCCTATTCCCTATACCTTTCCCATTATCCCTAATAATTTCTTCATTTCCTTCTCCTATTCCGCATACCTTTCTCATTATAACTAATAATTTCTTCATTTCTTTTTCGTATTCCCCATACCTTTTCCATTATCCTTAATGCTTTCCTAAATTCTATCTCCTATTCTCCATACCTTTCCCATTATCCTTAATGTTTTCCCAATTTATTTCTCCTATTCTCCATACCTTTCCCATTATCCCTAATGCATTTTTCTTGAGATTACTTTCGGTAAATACCTTTCGGAAAATTCGAAAATTGGCCCAAGACAGGCAGGACTGACGACCTGATGGAATCTCGCTCCGATTGACATTAATTTGTTTTGTTTTTCTGCAGAATTCGCGTGAAACGTACTGCATTCCGTTGCGCTGCTATTGCAGCAAATTTGGAATGGATTGCGTTCCTACCTACCTTCCTATAAAACTTTACCGTTCTCGATGTGTTTTACACTCGTTCAACAAACTTTTATTCGTCTCTAGAGAAATACTTCGCTGTCTACGCGCGCATCTATGTGCGTGTGTTTACATGTACGTGTGAGCTTGTGTTGGGATGTTTTTGTAGGTCTTTAGGTCAATTCTTTGCAAACACGAAGTATCGCTCGGAAAATCGTGATTTGATGTCTTCTTGAGAAGAGCACACGTCAGACGGACGATAGTAAGTCTGTCTCGCTTTTACTTCATCGGATAAAATGCAAACATTCTACAGCATTCCATCGACAGCTCTTGTACAGGGTGTTCTGAATATGTTTCATCATCATCAGAAGGTCGTCAGTTCTAAAACTGGTCGAACACGCACCTCTACTCCTTCCTATCCTGAGTTAATCTTCGCATTTCCCTAAAACTAGAACATCCCACATCCTTAATTATTTGCGAACAGTAATCTAATCTGGATCTACCTCTACCCCTCCTAACTCCCGCTTCTACCTCTAATATGTCTCTGACTAGACCTTCATGCCTGCGAAGGTGTCCTATCAACCCATCTCGCCTATTTCTTATTGTTACCTTATTTATTAATTATTTTTAATACCTCTTTATTTCTATCCTTCTCTATCCACGATATCCTCATCATTTACCTGTAACACCACATTTCGAACGCTTCTAACCTTTTCTTTTCCGCCGCACCCACTGTCCATGTTTCGCACTCGTACGACGCCGTGCTCCAAACATAAACCTTTAACAATCTTTTTTGAATTTCTAATTTAATCGTTCGCAAACATAGAAGTGACTTCTTTTTATTAAAGGCGACACGACCCTGCGCTATCCTGTGCTTTATATCCCTACTACTCCTTCCGTTCTGACTTATCTGACTTCCTAATAGATATCTAAAATCAGCCACTTCTTCTAATCTTTCGTCTCCTATCTCTATTTATTAGCTCTTTCCCTACCGTCCCTGAATATGTTTAAAGAAATATAATAATACTTAAAATTATTTATGCCAATCGGTTGTTTGCAAAATTCTAAGCGACTTTCTCCTTTTCGGTTTTTCGATTAGATGCATATTAACTGAGATATTAACAATTGAATATTAAACTTATTAAACAATTAGTACACAACGAGTTTGCTGCACAATGAAGTAGGCGTGACTCAGGCTTCTACTTGCAGCAAACAAAACGCTTTCTCATTGG